TATAGTGCTGAGAGTACAAAAGGGAGCCTCTCTGCGCAGAGGAGGCTTTGGGATGGCGTGTGTAGAGAAGGGCATCCGTGAGAATGTCTTTTTGTCTCCCTATTCCTCATCTGTTGCTGACAACCACTCCCAAAGTGTATTCCTAATTCATCTGAAGTAATTCATGTGGCTATGCTTTAAATAAGGAATACAGTGAGAAGTACCTATAAGCTTCTGAAGTGAATTTTTTCAGCTCGGAACAGCTTTACCACAACACTCTGTGCTTGCATTTCCTTTTGCCTATTAGCTCTCTGTCACCTTGCTGAGAAATATTTCTGGTTTTGATTGAAGAATGATATCTGGCTACATATTGCTGAAGGGTGTTATTCCTTTCTGTGGAATTAATTACTCTTTTGTAACATTTCAGTATGAAAATTCCTGAATTCCAAGTATCTGTCAGTAGAAAAAGTAGCTGGGAAATAAAAGTCTTTAGTTACTTATAATTCAGAACAAATGCTGACCATTCATAAATCTGCTTGCTCAGGTCTCTAGTGAAATGTGGTGTGGAAATGATGGAAACTGCTTGATGCTGCATTTAAATCTCGAGTGCGTTTCCCTTGCAGGAGGCCGAGTGTTGCAGATTCCACGGGCACAGGCTGAAGATGCCGGGAGATTCATGTGTGTGGCGGTGAATGAAGCCGGGGAGGATTCCATTCATTACGACGTCCGCGTACTCCGTGAGCTTTCCCGCTTTCCTTTTTTAATGAGAAGAAAAGAAAAAGTAGAAATCTAGGTTTTTATCTTGGCATCTCTTGTTCCCTATCCAGTTTCCAGCTCTAAATTCTGACCTACTGGACTTTTCTCTCTCCTTACTTTGGTCATCATTTACTAAAATAGCTCCAAAGCTCCCAGAAGCTTAAGGGAGTTGATGATTTAAGTCAAACATTGAATGCCTGCAGGTTCCATTTTGTATGATCCATTTGCCAACATTGCACAGACATTTTGTCTGCTACTTGCATTGTCTGTCGATGTGCTCAAGGTTTTGTTCCTTGGGAAACACTTATTTTTTACCTCTATCACTGTATTTGCCACTGAAGACACTGATTTATTGTCAGGAAGAGGGCCTGCCCTGGAAATCCTCTTTTGTTCTGACAGCAGGAACATGACCATCAAGCTGGAAAATGAGTTTTTACCTCTTCATCTTTATGGCTGCTGTGAATAAGCATCCTCTCCTGCAATCCTTCGAGTTACACTGATTTTTTTTTTTTATTTTTTTCAGCTCAACTGCTCTTGGGATTTTATTGTTTTTCACTATATTCACTGAAGATTTCACTACTTTCTTAGAAAAAAACAGTCTGATAGATTGGTCAGCAACCTTAACAAAACAAAAACAGACCCAAAAATAAACCAAGCAACAAAAATCCCTGGGAGACACTTAGTGACGTGATTCTTACCATGTTTTGCTCTGCTGTAGTGCCACCAGCCATCAGTGGAGCTGACGGGGATCTGCCTGCAGAGGTGACTGTGCTTGTGAACAAGGCTGCGGTGATGGACTGTGTGGCGAGTGGCAGCCCTTCTCCAAGCATCGCCTGGCAGAAGGACGGCCACCTCCTAGCAGAAGATGACAAATACGTGTTTTTGTCCAATGGAAGGAGGTTACAGGTAGCTCCTAGTCAATAACTGGTTTTTAGCATTGCAAACACAAGCTGCCCATAAAGACAAAACTGTTGAGATTTGCTGAGTATGAGATTCTGATTTTATTTTTTTTTTCCTACAAGGTGCTGTAAACCTGAGGAGTTTTTGTCCCTTGTCCCTGTCCCTTGGCTGCTTTTTTTCCATTCCTGTGCAGGTTTCACAGATGCGCTGCTCCAATGGTTTGTGGGGTCATGCTGTGACCTGCATCAGTGAAATTACTTGGTTTAAAATAATGTTGATTTTGGTGGAGATCAACATGTTGCTGTCAATTTTGTCCAAGTTCTCCTAACAGAGTTTAATTACCTCAAAATGTACTTTTGTTTCAGACTTTTTTTAAATGAAAATATTGTATTCCTTTATTGTATTCCTCCTGTATGACCTTTTCCTATCAGTGGATGAAATTGGATGTAACTATCGAGGCATAGAATCATACAACAGAATCATAGGATGTGTTGGGTTGGAAGGGACCTTTAGAGGTCACCCAGTCCAACCCCCCTGCAGTGAACGGGGACATCTTTAACCGGATCAGGTTGCTCAGAGCCCCGTCAAGCCTGACCTTGAATGTCTCCAGGGATGGGGCCTCCATCACCTCACCGGGGAACCTGTGCCAGTGTTTCACCACCCTCATGGTCAAGAACTTCTTCCTAATGTCTAATTCAAATCTACTTTGACCTAGTTTAAAACCATTGCCCCTTGTCCTGTTGCTACACGCGGTTGTAAACGGTCCCTCCGCAGCCTTCTCTTCTCCAGGCTGAACAACCCCAGCTCTCAGCCTGTCCTCATAGGAGAAGTGCTCCAGTGCTCGGATCATTTTCATGGCCCTACTCTGGACCCGCTCCAACAGTTTCATGTCCCTCTTGTGTTGAGGGCTCCAGAGCTGGACACAGTGCTCCAGGTGAAGTCTCTGGAAAGCAGAGCAGAGAGGCAGAATCACCTCTCTCAGTCTGCTGGCCATGCTTCTTTTGATGCAGCCCAGGATGAGGTTGGCCTTCTGGGCTGTGAGTGTGCATTGCTGACTCAAGTCCAGCTTTTTGTCCACCAGTACCCCAAGTCCTTTTCCACAGGGCTCTCTCTATCACATCATCCCCTTGCCTGTACTGGTGATGAGGATTGTTCGTGCCGAGGTGCAGGACTTTGCACTTGGCCTTGTTGAACCTCATGAGGTTCACACAAGCCCACCTCTCCAGTTTCTCTGTATTCCTCTGGCAGACACCCCTTCCCTCTGGCATGTCAACTGCATCTGCAAACTTGCTGAGGGTGCCCTCAGTCCCACTGTCTATATCATTGGTGAAGATCTTAAACAGCACTGGTCCCAGTATGGACCCCTGAGGGACACCACTTTTCACCCATCTCCACCTGGATATTGAGCCATTGACCACTACCCCCTGGATGCGACCATCCAACCAACTCCTTGTCCACGGAATGGTCCACCCATCAAATCCTTATCTTTCCAACTTAGAGAGAGGGATGTTGTGGGGGACCGTGTCAAAGGCCTTGCAGGAGTCCACACAGATGACATCCGTTGCTCTTCCCTTGAAGAATCAGTTAGAGAGCTGAACTTAGTTCTCTTCATTTTCATAGAAAGGTCTAGGAGTACATAAAATACAAAAGCCATGTAAAACATAGAGATTTTTATTTCAGACATTTTGTGAATAGTTTTTTGTTATTAATTTTGAGAATTTAATGTGAAGGATACTGTGTTGGCTTTTCTGGAGGTTTGCGATGCACAGACCAAAACACGTGCAGACTTGCAGACCCTGAAGACCTCCATGTCTTTGAGGAGACACCAAAACTCGATGCTTTAACACTAAGCTGTCTTATATATTTCCTTGATAACAGTCTTGTTTCTTTTTCTTAGGTTTTGAATTCCCAAATAACAGATACAGGCAGGTATGTCTGCATTGTGGAAAACATTGCTGGAAGTGCCAAGAAGTATTTTAACCTAAATGTTCATGGTAAGTGCAATAATCCATGATTTCCAGTTGTCTTCTTTTACACGTTAGTTTAGCTCGAATGTGCTTGGGCACACACTGAGCTTTATGCATGTAAGTTGTCTTATTGGGTGTAATGCAAATTCTGACATACTGAAAATCAAATCTATGTTTTAAATACCTTGGCAAAACATAGCTTGTGATACCCAATGGTGCCAGCTCGTTGTGGGTATTCCAAGTATAGTATAGTTATAGTTAGTATAGTTATAGTATTCCAAGTAGGTGGAAATTATTCTTGAGGGAGCCTTGTGTGGTCGCTATGTGTGTACACCGTGTACACACGGTAAACCCTGAAATAATGATTTACAAACTGATAACAGAGACATGGCATTATAAAAGCTTGCTTTAAAAAAATTTCTCCTTTAAGATTCCTTTCTGTTATTTTTTTGTTCTTGTTCCTGAGTTCATATAGGAATAAAAATAAATTTGAGCCTTTCGCATCACAAGTCTAAAACAAATGCAACCTAGAAATTAAAACATTTTCCATTATTTTAAAAAAAGTCTCTCCACCACCTCCCCCTACCTCTCCTGGTAGCTTCAGAAAATCAGGATATCTCTAGTTAACATATCAGTGTTAATCTTAACTTCTCCTTTTACTTCTGAAAGTGGTGGGAGGAAGAGTGGGCAGCTTTCTGTTCAGAACTGGTGATCAAATAAGCATTGCTCCCACAAAATCACCTGCTCAACTACATGTTAAATCCCACCAAGGAATACTGGCAGCTGCATCTTTATCTGCTTTCACAATACAATTATAGCACAGTCTTCTACGTATGATCAGGCTCCTTTTTCCCATCCTTGTTAGCTTGCTTATCTTCTGTATTACAGACTAGATAGAAGTGCTGTCTTCTCTCTCTCACTTAAATACAGTACCAGCATCCAAGGAATTCACGTTATCACATACAGAAGGAATAAATTTCTTTCCCATTCATGCATGCAGCACGTTTACATACTAAATGAAACAGATTGATAGTGCTTTTTTCTAGTCAGGAACACAACTGGCTACAAGCAGGGTTGTCATGGAAGGAATTTGCCCTGGAATCATTCTCTGAGAAATTATTTTCTTTCGGTGGAATCTATCCAGATTTCCTGACGTCTGAGTTTTGTTTTAAAATCAAAATATTTTGCTTTCTTGACATTTCTCTTTTAATTTAAACTTCTTGTGTTTAAAATATGTGTTTATAATGACTACAGTCTAATACTATTATTTTAAAGGAAATCTTTGCATTAAGCTTCAATTCCAGCTCAACTGTATTGCCAGTTTAGGTCTATTAATCTCGGAATGCAGTTTCACTTGAAAAATTAGTCTATAGCTGTTTGGGAAAGGACCACCCAGCATGAAGGATGGATGGAAATGCATTATCACGAAGCAGCTTGATTGTTTTGTCAGTGTCAAGAAAGAATTTTTGGATGTTTCTAATGGAACTGATTTCATAAATGTAAAGAAAATATTAAAGTTA